ACGATTGCGTCGAATCTAACGGCGTTATCTGCGATTTATCAGTCCTCGGTAACCCTTTTTTCGTATACAGTTAGATGTACCTACGAATGCTCGGGCTCCATTGTTGGGCGACCTAAATATTTATGTACTCGTTGTGCGTAGAGGCGTGAAGAATAAGATGCATATCGAAATTTATGCGCCGGCCTGGAAGTTTTAATTTTATTTTTCGGTTAGACGGGTGTCGGATTTCGAGGCGATATATAGAAATGATTCCCGTTATTTCCTGTAAAAATATACAAACCAGTCGGACGGGAATGCGTTGTAATTTCGGGATTTCCTGTTCCTTATCGGCGGAAAGGATTTTGCCGGCTAATCCCGATTTTTTGAATTAGCTTCACAATGCGAAGGGATTCCAGGTAGACGGTGAACCTTTTTTTTTATTTCGAATGCATTTATTACCTTCGGTTATGCGAAAGTTTTGTAACTGGGTCGGGCGAATTCTTGTTACTTTTCGAGGAGTTTCCATCGAAAGTTGGTTTCTTTTTCGTTCGAAAGCCAACAAACCTGCTCTAGTTTACTCCGAATTAAAACTACATCCAACAGGTTTTATTTAATTTTATTCAGGCTATTCATTAAGTACATATTTAAGTTTATATTAAGTAGTAAGTACATATATATTTTTTGCTTTTAAGCTACCCTGGAAGGAATAAGATTTAATCATGAAAAATCCCAAAAATTTGCTGTTAAAAAATAGAGAAATTAAAATAAATAATGATAGAGCGTAAGTAGCGCCCTCTATATGCTACACCCTTTAAAATTTGCCCACACTACCTGTATATTTCTAAATTTATTCACCAGAAATGCGCTACAATTATTTTTCTGTCCACAATATAAAACATTCGACCGGGTGCATCCACCATTTTTTCGAACCATTTTCAATACGATTCTACAGAGGCGAATTTTCAATTAAACTCCATCCGATATAGCTCAAGTTTTATACAACCCTCCCGGTAGGTCTTACTTCTAATTTCCAGCGCTCGTAAACCCATTCCAACAACGAGCAGGACGGCTAAGGAGATATTTAGCGGAGAGACTAGATAGTTTGAACATTCCCTACATGCTCCTCCCGGCCGCCCGCGCGCCTCCCCCCCTAGCCGCCCCCCATTCCGGCTTTACAGTATCCTAAAGCTATAAGCGTATTGCGGCTGGGGGGGCGGCGAGGCGGGGGGGGCGAAGCGCGGTTTTTGGGGTGGCACCAGCCCGCTTCGTGTTCTTGTAGCTACGGGCACGCTAAGCCTTTCATAGTTTGGAACTTTAATTAGTTGCAGGGAACCTTCCAGGATCCAGGATTCACTCTCCTGCTCGGATGTGTGTGTGCGCTTTGTCGGCGCTCGAATACACCGTTCTTGTTACAATTTGTTGATTAATATTCCTTGCACTAATATAATACTGTATTAGGTATATATTAAAATTATTATAATAGATTTATATATATAGGAATAAGGAAGAAGTATTATCGTTTTGTTGGTAGAGTAAATAAAATAGTGAATAATCGCGTCGCGACGACTGGAGGCGCGTCCTATTTTTCAGCGGAGTGTGTTAATGAAAATCTAAAGTAAGTCAAGGCGAAGGCTGCAATTAAAAATCGATCTGAGCACTCGCGGAGTCTGCTAGTATTTCTGCTCTCTTTTCTTTTCGTACTTTACTTTCCCTGCTACGCGCCCGCCGCCGGTAAATAATGGCGCATTCAACAGATTGCCGCTCATCAGCATTTTATTATTTTTAGAAGCAACTTCTTCGGCGCTCTCGCGAGAACTTCAAATGAATAATGCATCATTTATAGAGTTCAGTGAGCTGTTCGCCGCGCCGCGCCGCGCCGCCGACGCTTTCCCCTTTTTAACTTTTCTTGTAATTTATTTTTACGGGGCCGCTCTCTTTGAAACAAGTTCAAGGTTAATGTTATTAGTTCATTTCGCGCTCAGATTTTCGCCGATGAACTTTTCAACGGGAACTTTTTACCGCGGATTTCCGGTCCGATGTTGCTCATTTCGCACCGCTTGTATCGATTCTCCCTACTTTGAACTATTTATTATTTTAAATTTTGGCGAAGGAGTAGACTCACTAAGATATTCTAATTTTTGGCGGAGGAACCTATTAATAAACTCGCTGATAGTTTTAAGATATTCGAAATTTTGGTGGATGAATATGAATTTTATTTCACGCAACCCTTCGATATTAATCAGTCCATAATAACGAATACGATCTTAATTATGAAGAGAATACTCCACGGTACAATTTCGACCTAAAATCGATACCATCGCGCGGCAACCGGAACAAAGCAACACACCCATGCAAATTCCCGATGTATGTTAAAACATTGATTGACGTAATTCAATTAAATAAAGATCGAAGACGGTTCGAATACGGCCCCGATCCGGCGTTATTGCCTCCAGGCACCGTCATGTTGAACACCATTTGTAACACCTGTAAATTAATGAAAACGTTCGCCGGAAATTCCCTCCAAGACGTCGCTACATCGGGGGCGTCGAATTCGCCGGCTCGCCCATCCCTTTGCCCGACTATCAAGACCACATATAGAGCACTTCGCCCATTGGCGGGTCCCCCTTACGACAAATACTCGCTCTAAAGCCCTTTCAAGTCGCTCAATTTCACGAAAATCTCATCCTACAATAATTACAAACGCAACAACTTCTAGTGTATAAGTACACTATGTTTTTCCATCTAATCCAAAACGTTCGAAGACGGGTGTTGTTAGGACGCCGCTGGGGCATCTCCGAAGTAAGTTTGTGCTCTAATAACGGTTCCAACCCCGCGGTCCTGCCCCCGTAATTAAGCGACTACTGCGACTAGCACTCTGCTAATTAAATACAGAGAGAGGCACACACGTTTCTACCACACGCTGCCAAAATGGCCGCCTCCGCCGCCGCCCCCTTCGCGCCGCTCCCCTTCCGCATCGTCCCGCCGTCCTTTCGCGCTATCTCGGACCCGCGCTAATCCCCGACGAAGGCCCTCCGGGAATCCCAAAAAGCGGAAGGAACTTGAAATTTTGGCGGAGGAGCTCACCATTAGATGATAGTTTAATTATTCTAGTTTTTGGCGGAGGAACTGGGTTAACAAGAGCATATAATTTTCGATGGAACTGTGTGGATGTATCGCGTTTATTCGAAGAGGCGGCGAACACGGTTCCGCGCTTTATTTGCACGTCGGGCTTTTTCGCGAGAACAGGGATTTTTCTCCCGAAATGAGACATTTAAAAGGCTCTAACCCCGGATTACTCTTTCCTCCGGACGCGGCTCTTTTCTCTCTCCGCCGCCTCGATAATACACTTACGTATTCAAATCCCGCATCACGGCGAAACAACGGCGTATCCGGGGAATGCTCTCGCACAGAAAAATGTTTTCTAATCGAATATGAAGTTTTCACTTGCGCTAGTATCGAACATGAGGGATTGAGATAAATTCCGCCCTTCTCGCCCGGCTGGGGGCAGAAACGGCCCGCGAAGGAGACCTTTTTGTACCGCCGATGGAACGTTCGCAGGATTTCGCAGGATAAGGTCGGAGACTTTCGGTCGCCATAGAAACGATGTGACAGCGCCAGCGGATATCTCTCCCGGAGGTAAGGAGATTAATTGCGATCGTTTCTCTTTTGCAATCGGTTGGCGCATTTTCGAAATAGAAACATTAACTAAGCCACATGCCGGAGCTCGAGCGCTGCTCCTTAATATACATCGCCTTATTCGCGAATCGCCGATATTTCCTGACGAAATGGAATTGGAATTATGCTACTAACTGTTCATAATGGAAGGTTTGAGCTGTAATTAAACGGATTTTATGTTGTAAGGGTAATTCAATTGCACCCTCTCGTCGGTGCAAAAGAACTGCCTATATTCGAGGGGATATTAACCCGATAGGTATCTCCATCGCGCGGATGGTAGTGGAACTATTCCGTCCGTTTACGATGCCACTATTTGCCGGATAGGGCGCGCTTCAATGGGGCCCACGTTACGCAAACTGGAAACTAGTTTGTAGCCTTTCGATGCGCTTGAATGGACTTTTGATTTGTGCATTAGGTTTAGCCGAATTTAGTCGCTAAAATTGTATGTATAAAAAAAGTCGATATTTGTGCATTCTAGTAGTTAAATCTTGTCGAAATGTAGCAAAAAAATTAAATTGTCGATAAAAACTTTTCAAATTTCACCTTAATTAAATTCCGCTGGGAATCACCCCTTTTTTGGTCATTCCTACTTCTTTGGTTGTCGTTATGTTTTCGCGTAAATTTTCTCAAAGAAGTAGGAATTAAGGAATGATTACTGCGATTTTTTGCCGAGTAAACGTTCTGTTTTTCTACTATTATACGTTTTCTACTATATTATAAGAAGTAATAGCTAAAAAATATACGAGGGCGTTCGAAAACTTCACGTAAAATTTTTCAATTTACAAACTTTCGTAATTTTAAAAACATTTAAAAATTTCCAAAAAATTCGTACGAACAAAACTGCATCATCCGGATGCGCCAATGGATTAATCTAATTCTTCCCGATTTTCGAGCGCCCGGTTTATCTTCCAAGGTCGCCGACGGGCTTCTGGGGGAGCCATCGAAGAACTAAATATAGCGCGCGTCAAGACGAATTTCAAGATTGAAATATACGCACTAAATGCAGTCGGTCCGCCGTCCAGACGCTAGCCGGCGATAAATTTCCTATACGGGAATACATCGGGAGGGTGGAAACGCCGAAAATAGCACCGTCGAGAGGGTGATTATTATGCAGATGCTCGGAAGTCGATGTCTTATTTCTGTTAATCGTTTGTTACAAATTCGAAATTCGAATTGTCTACGGAATTCTCGACTCGTAGCATGATTGCGCTGTTTAATATTTAAAGAGATTTTTTTTTGTATAAATCGTTAAACCGATACGTTTATTCTAATTAAACAGAAACTTTAATGAGTACATTTTAATGGAATGCAGTTCAAAGAGAAATAGATTATTAGTTAGTATTAAAATGAACAACGTCCAGCCTGCTGTTTGCTCCGATAATTCCATGAAAGGTAAATAATATTCCAAAACAATTCTACAAGTACTAAAACAGTTATTTCACAGATGATCCTCTCGATTTCATCGAGAAATTCTCCATGTACAAACTCTCCTACAAACACAAGAGAACCAGCCAAATAATTTGCTACACCCTCTTCGGACTCATCGAATTCTACAACCTCCTCTTTCTACTCGAATTCGCCATGACGCGAAACACCGCTCTACTCAAACGATATTTAGTCACCATCATCTGCCAACAACCAGTAAGTACTCAACGCAATAAACCACCAACAACTCCCTCTTTACGTTTCCTACAACAGGCTTGTTTGATGTTCGCAATCCGGCCGTACTTCCTCAAGTACCTCAGCACCGTGCAGGACTTCTACTTCGAGTACTACGCCTCGCCGAAGACGCCCCGCGGCGGTTTCAACGCCTCGAAGATACTCTCCACCAAAATCGTCTGTTCGATCCTCTTCGTCCTCTCGCTGGCCGTCCAATTGGTTTTCGTGGCGGTCAATCATCTGCACATCGATCGATCCGCGATGTACCACTTCCAGTACGTCCTGTTGCTGCAGGATTTCTACCCGGTGTACGTGCTGTTTGTGGTTGTAACTTACGCTGTAGCTGCAGCTTCTGCTTATATAGTGGTTTATCCAGTCGTAGCTGCTGTTTATATCGTGGTGCATCTGCAGTTGCAGTTCCAGTATTTGAACGATTATTTGGATAGGGAGGTTAAGGGGCTCGATATAGGAGAGGAGGGTTATCAGGAGGCGATAAGGGAGAGATTGTTGTTTTGCGTTAAGCATCACGTTGTTTTGAAGAGGTATAGTCGGTGATGGTTTATTTGAGATTCGTTGTACAGGGTGTTGATTAATAAGTGAGAGAAACTTTAGGGGGTGATTCTGCGTGATAAAATAATGAGATTTTGGTATGTAAAGATGTGTCTGCAAATGCTTCGTTTTTGAGATATGAGGTGTTAAAGTTTCTTCACTATTAGATTTTGAGGAAATGAAAAATGCAGGTCAATATGTTTTATTTTTTTACTCGAAAACGGCGGGCTGTACGAAAAAAATACAAGAGAGCTTTTTTGTCACAAATTGAACGAGAAGTTCATTCATCATTGAATTTTTATAAAAATGCTTCAGTGGCGTACTAATATTATTTTTTTCTTTAAAATAATGTTATTATTACCCGTAGGCGCGTCAATGATGAACATAAAATTTTCAATTTTATATCAAAAAATGCGTAATAGTTACCTCTCAAAACCCACCAAATTTCATTTGAATATCTCGTCTGGTTTCAGAGAAATAAATAAATCTTCGATATTTAAGAAGAAACGAAGCATTTTCGAACTTATCTTTATATAGCAAAATATTATTTTTTCACGCACAATCACCCCTTAAAGTTTGTCGAACTTATCAATTAACAACTTGTATGTATATTGATAATTTTTTAGCGCTCATAAATACCAAATTAGTAAATTGGCGGACATGCCGATGCTGGCTTTGTGTACTACTGGTTTAATCGTGTGCATAGCATGTTTCTACCATTTGTTTAACGTATGTAATTTTATGCAATTTTATTCGATTTATTTATTAATTTTTTTATACAGCGAATAGATCCTTTGTACGATCCTCTGATGGTGATGGTTATATTCCATATAGGCATCCAAACGGTAATAGCTTCGATTTATGGACAACTTCTCATAAACGAGGCGAGTGATTAATTATACATGAAGAATTTGGGATTGGTATTGATTTTCGAATTTTATAGAGCGAAGGTTTCTACGGCATTTTGAACAAATCGCCTTGGATATACTGGAACAGAAACAACCAAAATATGATGCTAATGATGCTGGTGAACGCGAAAGACCCGTTCAAAATCACCTTATCCGGACTGTTTACGCTAAATTACGCTATGATTGTATCAGTAAGTGACGAGTAAATTGCGAATTATCGATGTATTTGAACATATTTCGATATATTTCAGGCTGCTCGTCTATGCTACAGCTTTACAACAGTCGCTATTAAAATATAATCAATAGAATCGTCGCTAATAAACTCACCAACACGAGCATTAAAATTAATTCTTTTGTGGATTAAAACGAGCATGAATAAATAACGGGGTTCATTATCCATTATCCACCCTCGCTCTTTATAACGCTACCTGTAATTATCTCTGCACAAGGTCAATTACAACAAAAAACTATCGAATGCATTTAACGAAACCCATCAGTATACAGGGTGGCCCAGAACTCACGCCCCACCGGAAAATTCCTTATGGAAACGATAATGGAGATGCCAAAACTGCAGTCGAAGGCAGGAAAAAATTATTCCTTTGGTAAATAAAGAGATTCAAAATCGACCAATTCCAATAGGAATTCATATCCACGAAAATGAGGTGAATTAACTATATACACCAATTTGACATTATTGAAAGATTCTATGTTCTGTAATTCTGGGCCTGCATTCAGTGTTGAATACAGTCAAACGTTGACATATTTGACAGTTGACGTTTTCTTTAGTTCTGTAATTCACGTCATTTTCGTGGATTTGAATTTCTACTGGGATTGGTCGATTTTGAACTTCTTTATTTATCAACGGAATAACTTTTTTATGTTTTCGACTGCGGCTTTGGCATCTCCATTGTCGTTTCAATAAGGCATTTCCCGGTGGGGCGTGAGTTCTGTGCCACCTTGTATATTTTTTATCTACAACGGAAATCTATTTTTCCCTATAACAGTTCTACACCGTACACTTGGTATGCATATATTGCGAAACGCCGGTGCCAGGAGCCGCGGTCCTGCGGAAATTTTTAGGCCTTTCGGGGCTCACGCGAGTGGCCAAGGGTCACGAAGGGTCCCTTGCGTCGAGCAATCGCCAAGTGGCACCGTCGCTTTCGCCACGCTGGTACGGCAATAGCCAGAGGTCACAATCATCTATCGATCAAACGTTCGGTTGACACCGAAAAACGCTTCCATCGCCGCCGATTCCTGCGATTTTATCGAAAATAAAGCGGTTGGAGCGATGACTGAATAGCAAGAGACCAGGTTTTTTTGCTGTATTTGGGTGTTTACCAAATAACCGAATAGGAGGAGGGTATATTTTTGGTTTGTTGTACCCACGGTCCTGTATTTTCTATGAAACGACAGTTCGAGCTGTCAAAAGTGTCAAAAATTATTTTTTGACATTTCGAGGAGAAAATGGAGAAATACATAAACCGAAGACACGTGAGGCATGATCTCTACAACAAAATCATCGCTGATTTAAGTATATTTTTGTATTTTCTATCTATTTTTAGTTTGAATCAAACCTTTCTTAATGCTAATTCTGTGCTAATGCTGTTTTATCCTCAAATAACGGGACACTTTTTCGACCCATGATTCCAGATAGAAATATAGGAAAGTGGTTGTACCTAAAGAAACTACAATATTTGGTTCTATCGATGGTAAATGTATCAGTTTCTTCGGTTTGCAATGTTGATTGCAGTATTATACAGTAGCTGGGATTCCCCGATCATCAGCGAGTGGTGGAAAAACTGATGTAAACTACTAGGTATTGCGGAAAAAAACGTAATATCGAGACTATTATTCCCATTGACGCCTAATCTGAGCAGCGAGTCGCCCGGACACAAAAGCCCCACCGCATTGTTTCTCTCGTATAATAAATGAATTTTCGTTTTATCTTATCTTTCGTCGGCGTCGGCACAAAGGCGGACCTTTTTGCACGGCATATACAGCCAAGAAATCGTTAGCCCGGACAAACGATGGAAAATCCTTGCGATATATATATATAGCGATTTAACGCGCAATGTTTATCACCGCAACCGAATCTTCGACCGCTAATCCGGCGAATTGAATCGACCATCACGGATAAAGATGTGTTTTTTTTTCATTTCTTTCCAGCACAAAAACGAAACGCACCACACCTGAACACACATTGACCTGTTTGATGCAAATCCATCCGGGCGGTCCGGTCGAGAAAAGCGCCGAATAATAAGGCCCATTTAGGAAATTATCCACGGAGATTCGATTTCGCATTGTGCGATTTTATTGAGAAAAATCCACCACCGGCCAGGTATACGCACGTTTCTTCCACTATAAGTATATATTGTACACCCTGTATGCGCAATACTAATCTTTAATTATCCGATATATTCTCCCCCTCGTATAAGCGAGCTCGTTTTACCGCATTCGGCGTTATTTATTTCCCGCTTTTTGCATACACAAAATGATTGACGTTTGAAAAGATGTAATTCGATGGTAAAAGTTGGTCAGCGATCGCCCATTCGTACTTAAATGGACCGAATAACTCACATCCATTCCCTCTTATTATAATATCGCCTCGTTTTCGTTCCCATGCGCCGGTTTATATCGCTCCATACCATCCAAAATAACAAATAGAATTGTTTCAAACGCACTATAGATAGTACCGAAGCGAGTTTGAAGGTGCTAGGTACCACCTGTTGAAATTCGCGCACCCTCAAGGGTGAAAATAAATTACTAACTCAATAGTGTATAAGATATTCCAAGCTATATATAAGCGCGCATTAATTCCTCGACCCTCATCAATGTTGTTAATTTCGGTACCTTTATATTCGGTACGCCTGCAACCTGTCCGATCGAACGGAACAACCCTTGGTCAGCGAAACATGTGCCCTTCCTCTAAGGGCTGACAACTGGTCGTTTCCGAATCGAATCTGCATTTTACCTGAGAAATTTCCCCTAATAATAATCAAAAGAACATCAGAAAAATCCCAAAAACCGTTCGTTAATTCTAATCCTTCCGAGCGATTTCTTCGTTTATTACAACAAACTCACTAACAGCAATGTCTTTGTGCCGGTGCGATTGAAGTGAAGAGCGAACCAGCGCGGCCTCTTCCGGCCCGGGACATCCGGAGGTCGCGTTCTGATCGCATCGCGTTCGCCAACTCGGGGTCAGGAAAGTCGAACTGCAGGGGTCAGTGGTCATTCCCGTGGTCACCGTCGCGTGGGAGCTATCGCACGGCTCCCATTGTTACGCTCGCCGCTCTCTTTCTCCTCCTCCATGTGAACCGACGAACGCTTACCCAAACAAAACCCGAGAAATGCCTATTAACATCTACAAGGTGGTCCGAAAAAAACTGCTCAGCGTAAGATGAACCGTTATCGCACTGTAGGTGTACGAATTAAATAAAAAAGAAGATCCCAACAAGTGAACTAGATACTCGACAGTAATCACCGAACACGTCAAATTAATCCACACCACAAGACATGTAGTTATCCTCTTCATGGACGTTTTGTACGACAAGAAGCTCCGTTTACCGGACGGGAAGATCATCAGCGCGCAGGAGCACCTGCAGAAGACCAAAGTCATCGTGTTCTTCTTCTCGGCCGGCTGGGTGAACAACACCGAGGAGCTGATCGACAAGATCAAGATGATCCACGACGAGATCAGGAAGCAGCGGCTCAAGATCGAGATCATCTACGTGTCGGCGGACAACGAGCAGAGCGAGTACGACGGCTACATGCAGAAGCAGGGCCGTTGGTGCGCGCTGCCCTTCAAGGAGGCCAGCAACGACGAGCTGCGCTGGCGGCACAACATCACCTGCCTGCCCCAGGTGGTGGTGTGCAAGCTCGACGGGACGGTGGTCACCGTCAAAGGGAAGGACGAGCTCTACAAGAAGGGCAAGAACGTGTTGGTCACGTGGACCGAATGGGTGCAAAAGTAGTACTATGTATCGATGGGATTGTTTATTACATTGATCGATCGGTGGATGAGTTTTTGTAATGTTTGTAAAGCAATATGTGGACGAGTTTTTTGTGGTTGTTCAACGTTTGTATAAAGCAATATTGGTAAGTAGTAGCCCCGGGTGCTGTTAATTTAATGAATGCCATCGATGTCCCCTCGCGCTGGTGATTGTTTTAAGGACCTTTCGGGTTTTTTTTTTATCCTTAAATCCGTTGGCTAGTCACGTACTACTCTAACAGCTCTTCTAATTAACGCGTTATATACAGGGCGTTTCGAAAAGGTTGACGTTTTTTTACATTCAAACTTAGATCATTTACAGGTTGCTCCATTTTTGATGCTATAAAGACAACTTCCATTAGATATTTACAAAGGAAAAGGAAAGAATGACATTTGTGTCATTGCAATTTTTCACTCTGACAACTGTCATTTTGTTAATCTTTCTTTGTTCCACTCATAGAAATGTACCATGTTGCAATCGGAAATGGAACAAACGATATGATCTAAGCATTCAGAGAAGTTAAGAACAACTTTTTCAACTAAAATGACTCTGGAAAAGAAACGGGTCATTTTACACTAACATCACCTATAACCTCCTTAAGTTTGGTACAACCTTTTCGCTACACTGATAAAAAAAATCGCATAAAAATAGCGAAATCGATAAAAGCGCGGATGATCAGACGAGATGAGATGAGATGAGATGAGATGAGAGTAAGGAAATGGTGGTAGTGCATTCGTGTGTCACGAGGCCTGTTCGGGCCTCGTCACGTGTCACGAACTGAACCCGCCAACTAGTCTTCGAGCGATGATATCGAAATGGTTGACGTTGTACATCCTCCAGCCGGCGGGCCGTGATTTCTGCCCACGTGCACCGTCTTCAATTTCGCTCTCAAAAAATTTCCAGCGCAATGTCAATCGCGCGATCCGTCCGCGTCGATCGGAATCGGCTTATCTATGTATTATATACCCGGAGAATTTACCCGGAAAAACGCGCTTCGACTTATCAACCGGCTATTAGACGCCCACTGGTGGATTTACCATACAATCGCTGTATTTAACTCGCGATGAACATAGAGAAAGTCGATGGATATATATGAGGTAATGGTTCATGCTATTCACATCGATCTGTAGGTTATTTCGTGCTGTATCTCACCCTGTAACTTTTTCTTCTATTCTAATTCATCCCTCCGCTCCGGATTGCATCTGTTATATACGAACGGTGCGCTGGACATTAGATGTTATTGAAATAGAAATAGGTCAATCGCACCCCTATAAAAAAGATTGTACGGACGCGTGGCCCCTTTTTGTCGGTTTTACTGCGATTAACCGTTTTTCGCAAAACCACCCTCGACCCCCAGCAAAGCCGGCGCGCACCCCCTCGAATCTAGACCATGAATAATAAATCGCCGAAACGTTTTTTTTTCCTAGCGTTATTTCGACCGTCCCGGTACCGGGTCCATTATTATTATCCGCAATTAACGGCAATCCGGCTCGGTATTAGTGCATTGCGGACGCGAAATAACCAACGCGAACGCGGATGTAGCGATTACATATCAGACATCGGAGAATATGCTCCCCTAATTAGTCGCGACGGTACCTAAAAGGAATTTTAAATCGCAATCAAGCACCTCCTAAGAGCGCACATAGCGCTTGGTGTTAGTAGCTAAATCTCGCGGAAGAGGTCGCGTTGTGGGAAGGTTGTTTTTTTGAGTACCGCTGTAACTAAATCGAGCATCGCCATAGGAAAAGGGGCTCCCCTGGCCAGGGGTCAAACGGCTCATGGAGGCCCCCGGGCCACTTCCGTACTTCCACTAATGAATCCCCGTCGATGATGCATCGCATCGGCTGACACCGATACGGATGCTATTTTTTTTTATTATTAATATTATTCCTTCTCTGTAGCTCTCCCGGTCGCTAACGGTCGTAATTACGTTAATTTCGCCTTTCGCGAACGCGCCGATTTCGCATCAATTAGCTTAATAGCCGATGGGCCCGTTATTATAGGAAAAATCCGCGCGGGTGTTTGCGAAATTATTAATCCCGCGCGAAAAATTGGTGATTAATTTCCTGAACTAATTGCCTGCAAAGCTGCAACCGATACATTCTAAAATTCGACAAGTTTCGATTACGAATCGGGCCGTTAATAGCCCTGCTAATCCAGCCAATTAAATCCGCGAATGCGATGATAGAGATTTTTTTTCCTATATCGATTCTAACGCGCCGTTTATACATCTATACAGCTTTCTCCGGCGCGTCGGTTTGTTTGATATGTAAAGTAAATTATAGATGTGCGATATACTCGTTGTTGGTTAAAATGTACAATGCTCGACGGGCGGTCTGTGTCTTTTATTAATTTATTATTGACAAACGTACGCACACCTTACTGCGGATTTTTCTGTTCAAATGCGCGATAGAAATATACATAGAGCCGGTGAAAGTCGACTCGATTGGTATATTCGAGTTCTATTTTTCGAGTTTCTATTTTTGTTTGCTTGTTCGAAGATAATCAGGGATGAATTTTAAGGGTGCAATGGAAAAATGTAGTCGAAGTTTCGCTAATATTTTGTACGAACAGCGTATGGCACACACACCATAAAAATAAACTGACCCTCGAGCAAATAAATATTGTCGCAATCACAAAAGATATAAATGACGTATGCATAATACTACGATGGTCATTTTTGGCGTATTTTATGCTAAACCAAAGGCGTGCATATTTTATTTTTTAAAGGAATTATTACTTACGATAATACCACACTAACTTGAATAAATTAATACGAAACTTTCACCAATTAATTCGCAATTTAAAAAATAAATATTAAACAAACCAAATCGCTTTTTATACAAAGAAATTATCAAACAAACATCACCCTTGTTCGCACGTCTTTGATCGTCCGAGCGTCCAGTGAAAAAGTTAATCTTTGACCTTAATTCCTTTCCGCTATTTCTATCCCCGTCCTACAGCGGCCCTTCTCGTTATTAAAACCGATCCCCTCGAGTTCTCGCCGAGCATTCCGCCGTTCCACCACGTCCGAGTAACTTTTGTTGTACGGACACCCCATTTTTTTCCACCACAATTGCGTGAATTCCGTCCGAAAATACTTTTCTGATTCACATATGTGGGGACGGAAATATGCATAAATTTGCACGATTCGGGTCCAGATATCCGCATCTGTATTTAAGAACATCTTTGCGAAAAATATACAGCATTTTACGAATCAAATACTGACATATCTCAGCAAAGAGGAACGAAGTTATAGGGTTATAACGGTTATAACAAACAATAAATTTGAAATAATGAGCGCGTATATTTTTTCAATCGTTTTTTCGGATGCTTAACGTATCTGCGTCAAATTAAACAAGTATGCAAATCGCCCGGAAAACTATACACCTCTATAAAAAAATCGAAATGAACGTGAGAACGTTTGGTAAAAAACGAGGGGTATCACCCCGGAGAATAACAATAAAAAAAAACCTGCGGACGGAACGGTGCAATATCTTTTTTTTTTGTAATGCTAATCCTAAAAAACTCTACCTAGACCTAGGCCGAGGATGCTCATGTGGGAAATAGTCATACCCCAAGTTTTTTCACTTCGGGATGATTAAAGGATATTATTTATGGGTGACGGGGTCGCATGCAAATCCTCCGTTAAAAAAAACAACGATAAATTGTATGTAATTTTTCAGGATAGGAAAGGCTCGGCGGTAGACCGTTAGAACTACCAAAAAAATTAACATCTCTATAATTAGTTTTTAATGCGAAGCTCAACTGTGAAATCCCGCGTGGTATTAACAGGGTTGAAAATTTATTGTGTATTTTATATCCACTATACAATGTGTATAAATAGATAAATAGTGGTATATATTGCAACAAATTTTATAAAACAGAAACGTTTAGGTTTCGTGGGTGTTTGTAATGACCTAAAAACTAGCTCTTTGTATATACAATGTGTGTGCTTGTTAAGAATATGTAGATCGTTGAGATTTTCGTCGGACAATCGTTGACCCGTTGTAGTGCGTTTTAACCTTTCCCGGTACGATTCGACTAAAGATTAACAAATTTTTTTGTTCTTCATCGCTCTAATGAACCGCGCGATACACAAAAAACCGGGCGATAACAGAAGCGAACGTCCCCTGAAGCTTTTTTTATATATTCAATTCAACCCTTCCGGTACCCGCATGAAGACCATCGCAAGACCTCCACCAGGTGGTGGAAAAAAACCACTCAGGGGTAGACGTTTTTTCACCTATTTGTTTCCAGCATGCGCCTCGTTCAGCAACGCTCGCTACCGATATTTCGTACAGAGCTTTTTTTTCGGATATTTTTTCGAACTATAGAGGAATTCTCTCGCGATTTCCGAAGCGCGATGACCGCTCGCGATAGGGTAGACGCGTGCAGGCACGTCACAGATAAACTCGACATCATCCATGAGAATACATCCGAAGGAGTCGCTTCGCGGAAACGCGAGATCCGATGGGATAAGTTTGGTTGTTTTATTGCCCTCGTCGTATCGATTAACTTAATTTCGTTCGTACCTACATTTCTGGATTTTCTTACGCAATTCGAAGCGGAAAGCGAGCCGGAGTTTTCCCATGAAATCTAATATTTACATCAAGATTTTCTTCGAGAAACGTTTCTAAAGACCATTCTGAATTGTTTGAAAAGCACCTAGTCAATTCTAAACGAATCTGCAGAGTTCTAAATGGTTTTAAACAGTTATAAAACTATCCTGCATAAAACAATTCATCTCGCCTACAAAACTCCTTATACACCGTGCGTTTATTCGAGTGGGAATCCGGCGTTCTCGCGGATCCGGCCCTGTAAGGGGGGGCCCACAAAAGCGGCCGAATGGTCAGCGAAAACACCCGTTAGGCGCGTTTTGACGGGCGCATCATTCGTCATAAGTTCGGCAGGCATTGTGAAGTTGCATCGAACGATGGAAATCGGCGTAAATGCATCGCAAACATCGCTTATACAATTCGAGGGAAACGTGCGAGATTTGCCGTGACGAAAAGCCGCCGCCTTCGGCCAGATTTCGGCGAGCTAATCGACTTTTTTTTGTTGTCATGTATTTGGCTAAAGCATATCCGGCGAAAGGTGGGTTAAAAATCAATTTGGGCGACCGGTAAAAAAGAGGAATCGAACGTCTGGTACCCCCGAACGAATCGATTTCGGACTAAAAAATCCGGTACAATTAATTGTTTGAGGAAAAAAACATGCAAATTTCATTGTAGGACGTGTTTTCGAAACGAAATGCGGGCGTAAAGTGACGAATTCGATGGTGTTTAACCAGCATGATACAACCAACAGTACTCCTCTTGCAAGCTGATAAAAAAATTATGTGAAACGTGATGAGAAATTTAACGGTGCGTTCGATACGAATTGTTAACAGTATCGGTGCATCGAATATTACTTATATAAGCGATTTTTTTCCACCGGAAAGCTACATAAACAACGCTCTTATATTCCGAAGAGACAGTTTTATTTTTATTTGTATCTACGAAAGGTTCGTTTTCGCAAAAGAAAGGTTGTTAGTATTGTTTACATTAATTAGCAGACGCAACAATAGACTGAGAAATTACGACTAATTATAATGAAGTTAATGAATACATAGGCGTTTTAATGTTTTTTTTTTTTAATCTTCATAATATCTACTCAAATTTACTCAAAAGCGGTGGGATAAATGTAGATTTCTAGTAACTCCACTAGAGGAATTATTTCTAAATTTAAAGGGTGTAAATTTCGTTATTCGAAGTTAATGAATACATAGGTTTTTAATGTTTTTTTAAATCTTCATAATATCTACTCAAATTTACTCAAAAGCGGTGGGATAAATGTAGATTTCTAGTAACTCCACTAGAGGAATTATTTCTAAATTTAAAGAGTGTAAATTTCGCTTTTTTTAACGCCCTTGTGATGCGCCCATGGCAGGTTAGAAAGTGATTTCGATGGTCAACGATAGTCCATCAAAAACAATTATTACTCTCATAATTACACAACGGAAACGCTCGAAAAAAATCATCAACCAGTTTGTCAGAGTTCCTCGTTGGTTTTCTCACACTACTCGCAACAATCGATGAATTTTCCTAATATTCCAGCGAGTTAATAAAGAAATTAAAACGCCATCGAAGCAAGCCGATAACTAGCCGGTTCCAATTAAAAATTATCAAACCGTTTTTTTTTTTTCGAAGGTGTACATAATAATTGTCGATTATTCGTAATTATTCAATATAGGCGCAACCGAGAGTCTCACGGCACGGGCTTGGCCGTCTCTTCCACCTTCGCAATTGTTTTCGATACCATTACGAGACCCAGTGGGCGAAACAACAATGGTCAGTTTGGTTGGTACTCGCGACTAATATATCATTTGGTTTACAGACAATTTCGCATATATAAATATATTAACAGTTCTCGAAGTCTGGGAGAACACACATAGACAATGACTGTACACTATTTCAGAGTTCATTATCGAATCGTCGTGACCTAATCGATGTTTGGAGAAAACTTCGAGTACCTATATTTCTTAAACAACGAAAAGCGTTGTTGATTCGAGCGTTCTCGTTAATGGCGAATAGGTAAATTTTAATTTCCATCAACAATATTTTCAACCAGTTCGACTGGTAAAAGGCGACCTGTTACATATTACCCATGAACCGATAAATACGGTAAAAGAACATCGTTAGTGGCCTTTCTCTAACGCCGAGCGTGTTCGACTAGGAATTATTTCATGCGAAATTTTTCATCTCGATTCAGATAAAACTCTTCCGACGATTTATTTGTCATGGTTCTATTTAAAGAAGGTCATGAATCGTCTCATTAACATAACATTAACTTCGCCTAGGCCATAACTCGGCTTTTTAGTCCTCGCGCGATGCTGAAATCTTCGCCTAAAGTTATTACAACAGGTGTTTTATAAGGCAATATTTATCGGTATATTTATTATTTGATTGCCGGATTTTGTAAGTTTTGCTCTTTTGTTCTAGCAGTGTATGATTCAGAAACAAGAATTAATTATTCCCGACAGTTTAGAACTGTTCAAAGCTATTTAGTACTGTCTAAAATCATTTAGAATTGATTTAGAACTATTTGGAACTGCTTAGGGTAAACTAGAATCATTTAGTAGACTAGTTAGAACTTTTAGAATACTATCTCTCATCTAAAAAAATCATCAAACTTACTTAGAAAAATCATTTAAAATCCACCAAATTAGCACTAGTAATTTGTTTTGATGGAACACAACTTTTATAATAAATTTAACATCATTTTCAACACTGCATAAAACGCATTACGCAGGTATTGAATAAATTGTTGTGCCTATTTAAGTGTCGAATTACTCGAACAGATAAGAATCGATTTCGAAAAAAGTATCACCTTCCTAAAAGCCCCGTTTGATCGCATTATTCCGTCCGAAAAACAGAATTCGCACCATTTATAATATTCTAAGTGACACGTCTGCAACAGCGATGCAACTGCATACAAAAAAAAATTGCAAAATCACTCTACGGCTGCGATAACAGGACCGTATTAGGTCCTCAAATCGGGCCGGTTTGAACCCGGCTCACGGAAAGTTTCCCCGGAAAATTCGCGCTCCGCTTGTTCCAAGTTTCGGCTAATCTGGATGCGCTCGGCGCTCCGCAGAAGAAGGGGGCTCCGCGAATTGTTTCCTCTGACCGGCGGCGCGAAACCTAATTTAGAAATTATCTGGCAGATAATAAAGTTTCGGCGACTTTCGAAACTTCGAAGAGTCACAAAGGTGGCCGGCGATGCCGGTGCATTGTATGCGCCGCGCGTCCCGACTTTTCTCATTCAATTCGACGATTCTTTTCCACTACCGCATACAGAAAATCCCGTACTGATAACAAGACAATCCCCGCGAATTAATTCTACATCTTAACCGGATCCGGAAGATGCGCTGGATAATAACAGGAAGTCTAATAGCGAATCCATTATAATCCACTCTCCTATACATATCATCTATTAAATTAGCTTACAAACCGTCACAGTGTTGGCTACATTTTTATATAGCTATTAAAAAACGATCCGAAGCGCCCTGTATATAACGATTCTAACGGTAACAATTAACACGAGTAGGACCTCACGAAGCTTTTACCACTTATCAAAACCCGAATGGGACTCGACTCGGTCTCGTTCGCACAGCAAATTTTCGAATATCTGCATAAACACTCGACGTCGTGGACCTACAAAAGGCATATCGTTTGAATAGAAGGATGTATTTTACAAGCGAACGTGATTCCCGTTTGCGTATTAACTTCTATTAGCTCCATATTAGTCCTGCCGGTATGAATAACGCGCGGTGGAAGTATTGTTCGAGATAATCAGGCGGTGACGTCACGAGATTTATTCGACAGATGTAATATATCTGATAATTAATTGATAAGTATGTTTGTATTCGATTAAATGTTAATTAACCTTTCCGAATGACCCCCGTGGATATTTGCGAATGTTGAAAGTTGTGCAAATCTCCATTACATGAGTAACGAAGGAATTATTCGTTTATACAGGATGTCCTGTAGATACACAGAGTACTTTAATAAGCGAGATAAAATAAATACACTTTTATGCAGATCGAAAATGGGTAATTTTGAGCTATTTTAGTATCGATGAACTTTTGACTGTATATAGAGAGGTATTCAAAAAATCGTTACACACTGTATAAGTTTGAAGAAAATTTATCCTTCGATGAAAAAGGTGACTTACCTGTATGGGTCAAATCACATTGTCATATTCGAATGAAGCGACATTACACAAAGATAATATTATTATGTAGATTGTGCATCGCAGCGACTCGTCATATTATAGCCCGGGAGCCGAGGAAATCATTTCAAAAACTATCACCAAGTCACATTATCAATATTTAATTATTAGAATCGCCGATTACGAAATTTAGCGAACCGTTTACGCAACGAATTCCGAATTAATTACCTAACGAATCCGCTCGGGATGTTTTGGTAAAAGTTCAAAGTGCAAACGGGCCAGTTGGCGCTCGACTATCGACCGCTGGCCGAGCCCAAACTAATACCATTCTGTCCAATTTGGTGTGGTCATCGCCGGCATTATAATAATCAATTCAAAAGACGAAGAATCTCCTACGGAGACCGAGCACTGACAAAGCACATTCAATTCCGATGAATCCGTAGGCGTGGAAGTCGCCTAAACACAGTTAGATACACCAAATACTCGCAGAAGAAATGTACACAAAAATTACATCAACACAAAAACATATAATTGCATCTAAAACGCTTGTACAAAAACAATATCATTACAATCACCAAGGGTTGCTTCTGATGATCGGACCGACACTCCTCAGCACCGGAGAAGCCGCCAGAACCGGAGCAGAAGCAGCGTAAGTCAACGGAGCAGCTGCAGCGTAGCTCAAAGGAGCAGCAGCCACAGTTCTGGTAAGCACAGGCGATGGTAGAGCTCTAATAACCGGAGCAGCAGCAGCGTAAGTCAACGGAGCAGCTGCAGCGTAGCTCAAAGGAGCAGCAGCCACAGTTCTGGTAAGCACAGGCGACGGTAGAGCTCTAATAACCGGAGCAGCAGCAGCCAAAGTCAGAGGAACGCTTCTGAGCAGCGGAGCCGGAGCAGCGATGGTGTTAACTACCTGCACCGGAGCTGGAACGGTTCGGATGATGGAAGGAGCGGAGTAGCTGAGAGGAGAAACGGCGCCGATGGAGAGCGGTAGAGCTTGTGGTGCTAGGGAAAGATGAGCCGGAGCGTAGCTCAACGGGCTGGCTAGAGCGAGCGGAGCGGCTCTGAGTAGAGCCGGCGGGGAGCTGATTGATACCGGAGCTACCGATAGGGATCTGAGCGGGGTCGAAGCTAGACTGAGGGGATTTAAAGGTAGAGAGTAAGATGATATCACTGGACTGGCTAGTGATGGTTCGGATAAGATTCCTGCTCTAGCGCAAGCTAGAGTGGCGATGAAGAAAAGTGCCTGGTGAGAAACAATTATTAATTGAAATGTTAATGATTGTTAGATTTCAACTTACTTTGAATGCCATGTTGTTGGTGTAGAACAGTAGGAGGAACTGATGCGTTTGAGATAAAATTCGCGGGTTTTTATACGAAACAGGTGGACCACTTTCGGTTTCATTTACAAACATTAATATTTTGGCATTAATATTCTAATTTCGGCACGGATCCACGGCGGATTTCGCAATTGTTACATAAAAAATCCGCAAAAACATTCCTCTTAGGTCTAGGTCGTATTTTAAATAATCGCGCGAATTTCAATTCTAATCAATCGATGATGAACATCCCGAGCGAGCGCTCGAATTATTTCTATCTTCGAGCCGAAGGTCTCTAAATCGTGTCCACGTGGCCAATGACTCGTCGGGTTCGCTTCTATTTGGACAGACTTCAATGCAAAAATAGCCCCTTACTCGACGTCCGGACCGTCTGGTCAGTGTTAAAAGATTATTGAACCTTTTGATGGCAATGAAAATGAGCTCCAAACGCATCTATATTCGGACGCATTCTGATAATGGACCACCAGAAAGGGACTAGAGATTCGAGACGCGAAATAATTTCGATTATTACATGTGCAATGTGTGGCCCATTTGTGTACACATTCTATCCGAGTTTTATTATAAACAAAGCGCTTTCTTGGAAACAACTGGCATGGTCTAGGCCACTCGCTCAGTTTTCTACCAGTAATGTAAACCGAAGACTTGTTTACATGCGACATTACATTTCGGTTTGGTGAGGAAGCATCGCATCGTAAACCGATGGCCCGTCTTATATAACATATCTCATAACATGTGTGTACCGTTACGTTCTGTTTATACAGGGTGGTTCGAACGAACTAACGCGGAACCACTCTGTAATGGTATAGCATATTGTGGTGAGTACGTAAGATAATGTAAAAATCAAACAAACAAACGCGATATACGGTTTCATGAGCGCGTTTATTTGGAGTAGTTTTTTGTTGCCTTCGAAGTAATGGGAAGAAAAAACCGGTGACGGGATGTCCAGGATAATTTATAAGCGTCTCGGCGAGGAGCGTACGTGTGGTGTGCGGTTAAAAATATCATCGGTAACCCTCTCGCTAGTCTCGGCGGATGTCCACGTGGTTTTTTCGTGCGAGAGCGATCGCTTCGCAGGCGTCCACATGTGGCTCTCTCGGGCTGATGTAAATAAACTGGCGACCCTTCGATGATATTTAACTTCTGGCGAGCCGAAATTGCGCGGCGGTTGCCGTAATTTAGGGAAAAAATGGTCGGCTCGAGGCCGAACGGGACCGCCTCGCGAGTAACTCGCAATAGAAATCGGGTCGTAGGTCAGATACCTGCGGCGTCTTTACTTATGCTCTTTAACTCTTGCTCGTAGGCCGGTGCACAGCGCGAGAATTGCAGCGGAATATTGTTATGTAATGAGCTGAATGTGTACAAAATAGGCCACTTTCTTACTTATGTTTTTCTACATCTTCTTCATGTTCTTTTCTTAATCAGATTCGTACAACAACCATTCTTATTTAACTACTTTTATAGCATTTTCTTCAACCTCCTGCACTTTCTTCTACTTCTACTGTTGTTTTCACAATGCTTTCATCAAAATTCTCCATCCATACTCTCTTCTACTTCTACTGTTGTTTTCACAATGCTTTCATCAAAATTCTCCATCCATACTCTCTTCTATTTCTACTGTTGTTTTCACAATGCTTTCATCAAAATTCTCCATTCATACTCTCTTCTACTTCTACTGTTGTTTTCACAATGCTTTCATCAAAATTCTCCATTCATACTTTCTTCTACTTTTACTGTTGTTTTCACAATGCTTTCATCAAAATTCTCCATTCATACTCTCTTCTACTTTTACTGTTGTTTTCACAATGTTTTCATCAAGATTCTCCAATCTATACAAGCTCTTATCTTCCTTCATTTCTTCGCCTCATCGTTTTTAGTGAATACTGGTATACTGGCCTAACAGTCTAAACGTTTGGTGCACTTTGTTTCGCAACACTATGAGAACCGAGAACGTTTCGTATTTGCCCATACATAGGTCGATTGGAGATTGTGAATTTGTGTCCTTGTCGAGGAGGAAAAAATATTTTTTTTCGAAGATGTGAGCTTCGGGATGCGATGTAATGACAAGCTTGCGACTTCATTGTTTGTCGTTTGCGAAATTCGCGTTAATTAAAGCGCACGAATCGGCGAATGAGTTTCTTTTCGCGTTCAGTTAAGTATAAAAATGGTATCGGATTGTTCGAGGTACAATAAAAAGGGACTCTTCCACTAAATACGTAACTTAATTCTACCCCAAAAAATGGCTATTATGCGATCTTGTGAAAATCTCACGGGCATAAAAAAAGACCTTAAAAAAATTACCTGCATTATCGAGGGCCTCCACGGTCATCTTTGTCCTAGGATGGTATGGGATCAGATAACCGATTAAAAGAATATCGAGAAGAATAATATACCCTACGCTGCAGTTCTCTAGTACCTACCCGTGTATTAATTATTCCAACTTTAGTTTTTTCACTAATTCAAAAAAAAAATCCCCAGGTAGCGTCCACTCATCTCGAACGGACCCAGGCCGTTTTTTCAACGGCTCAGATCGAAATCGAAATCGCCGGTGTTTACTGTTATGCGATATATCAGACACCACCCTGCGCCCCATAATGGCATTTATATATATATTTTTCGCTCGCCGAGGACCCGGCGAAAAGGGCGCACAATGCGCCCTTTGTGTTTATTTGTCTAATTGTAAATGAAATTGACATGTGTTAAGGTCAATTTTGAAGTCTAGGTATGCGACCAAACGAGAGGTTTATTGTGCTCGGTGCTCCATATGAACCCATTCAATTTCGAGATTTCGAGATTTCGAGATAAAAATCTGGAACTGGAACCGTTGCGTCAGAAGAGAACTCCAACTCGACGAAATTTAGCGAATTTTTCCGCCGTTTCGGCGGAATTCCTCCAGCAAACGATAACGAAATAACACACCCTGTCAATCGCCTGTGCTATTAACTATACAGCCACAAAAACTCTCATTTTGACCCAGGGTACAAACTGACCTCTTTCCTCTATTGTCCGCTTCTACATAAGTGGTACTTTTCACACAACAACACAATGCGCTACGATTATAAGTATCATTATCCACACCTGATGTACCGTCCACAAGGCGGTACTATGAAATTATTTCTTCTAAACGTAGCAACTGGTAAACATTTCTGTTTTACACCAACTACTCGCTATACATCTATATACAAGGTGGTGGTTGTATTTTTAATTCACTTTGATGGCCTCTAACTACTCAGTTGTACACTCCACCAAGGTGGTGGTTGCATTTTTGATCCACTTTGATGGCCTTTAACTACTCAGTAGTACACTCCACCATTGCATTTTTGCTCCACTTTGATGGCCTTTAACTACTCAGTAGTACACTCCACCATTGCATTTTTGCTCCACTTTGATGGCCTTTAACTACTCAGTAGTACACTCCACCATTGCATTTTTGATCCACTTTGATGGCCTCTAACTACTCAGTACACTCCACCATTGCATTTTTGCTCCACTTTGATGGCCTTTAACTACTCAGTAGTACACTCCACCATTGCATTTTTGCTCCACTTTGATGGCCTCTAACTACTCAGTAATACACTCCCCCATCAACAGGTTTGCGTTTAGACACAATTAAAAACGATTTGTGGGGATTTTACGGCGAGTCGTCGGAGGGCTTTGTACAGGTGTATCGATGGAATCGGCAACGTTAGGTAATAATCTTGCGACTGACCGCAGGCACCGCTTTATTTTTACCGAACAGGCACCTCGCATTTCCGGCCCTTTCGCCGACCCCGGGGGCTGGTCAACGCAACAACGGAATGTTGTGACAGGTTTTTCTGAATATCCTTGCGGTCAGTTCCAAATTCAACAGGGCCGTAAATCAGAAAAACCGACCCGAAGCGGCGTTGCCGCGTCCTCTTCATCTCCTCTCGATGACTTCTCTGTATGTGACTGTCTTCTCTTTAAACTATTCGTCGTGTTACAAGAGTTAAACAAGCGAGTTGGATTATTTTGCTCGGATTGGAATGGGCGTGAAAATGAAATTCACTTTTCCATTTCCATCGCCGAGTTGGGAATATCCGGAGGAGCGGCAACGCCGGCGACGAACTTGGCGAAACTAACTGTAGATTTCGTTGGGGTGTTCTAATCTTTACCTTGACCGATGAACCTCCCTCGTCTGAGTGGCTTCCTTTCTTCGGATCTCGGCGAGATTTATACGAAGGAATTCGGAATATACGGGGCGATGCTAGAAAACTGCTAATAAAGTAGGGCGTAAAAGAGGTTTTTTTTTTTGTTTGTAAATAGAGTGCTCGGTGAATATTTTGCGTGTGGTCCGTTCGTGAGCGATTCTCCAATTCGGAGATAAACTCGACTAATTCCGCGTAAAGAGATTTCGTTAGCGGTGATTTATGGCGCTATTTACGGGAAATTTCTACAAAATCGTCGTCTAACGAACGTTCAAAAACCACTTCGACCCACTAGAAACTTACATAATTCAAGCCCGAACGAAGATTAGGCGAAAATAATAGTTTGTTGCTTTACATCCACTCGTATAACCCTTGTAGGTCCAGACTAAACACGTCGTCGGGAGAGCAGACGAGCAGAGGGATGTTTCCACATGTTGAGACGGTCTCCTCTCGCCTGATGGTTTCAATCTGTCACTAAATCCCGCCCGCCCTCTCTCGCCTTTCTAAAAACGCTCCATCGACGGCGGCTGTTTTCGAACCCATCCGAAAATCCCACTTCTGATTTCCACCGAAAAATCCCACTTCTGATTTCGACCGAAATTCTGCCGTAATTTCCGAACGCGAATAGATAATCTCCATCCGATCCACCCACATTCTTGCGTTACCTATTGTGCTCCGTTTGTATACAAGGCGATCGGATTTCGTGCGCGCGATACACGAAAAAATATTGACCGGACGCGGACCATCGGTCTCATTGTAGCACATCCGCTCGCCCGTTTTAGATTGAATTACCCATCGATTGCGGCGCGTCCAGGAAATGGTATCCACCTGAACGGAGCTCTCTCGGCGGAGGAAAAAAAATCCGTTAGGCAGGACTTGGTGGAATATGTCGAGGTGTTGCTCTCGAGCGCGATGTCAAAGGTTCCCCGGGCTATTGCGAGTGTCGATGAAGGGGTCACGTGTCAGAGACGTCAATCTGCGAGACGGTAATTAATAGTATTATGAGCTCGCTGGATTTTTTTTTCTTCTTCTCTCGTTCGGGCGAGAGAGGAAAATGTTGGCTCTCTCTCGCCGTGACCCGGGTTTGGGCTTCGCACGATTCGTTTCAGCGGTACTAAATGCTTCTTGCACTCCGCTCGATCGTGTTTTGCTGGGTGTTTTTAGTTGGTTTATTAGCCTAATTTCGTAATGGTGGATTTTAGTGGACTCGATCGAGCTGCGAGGATGTGTAAAATGCGTTTATTCGTTGCAGGGTTTTGCTAGTAAATTCGATCAATTGTTGGAATATATCAGAAGACATATTCTAATTAGTCTATTTATTCTAAAAAGTGGAAAAAGATTCTAAGTAGCTTTAAAAGGGTTTTCTAGAATGTGCAGAATAAGATATACTCTAAAAAATGTATTGTTTGAAGATGTTATTCTACGAAAGAAGACGTTCTAATTCATAAAATTTGTGGTTAATGGGAATTCTAATTAGTCTTTCAAAAGTGGAAAAAGAATCTAAGTAGCTTTAAAAGAGTTTTCTAGAATGTGCAGAATAAGATATACTCTTTTACTTTTCAAAAATGTATTATTGATAAGTAATAAGATATACTATTTTACTTTTCAAAAATTTGAACATGTTATTCTACAGAAGAAGACGGTTAATGTGAATTTAAAAGAGGGTATTTTTATGAAACACCCTGTATAGTCGACACAAAATTTTTGTGTCACTGTAACCAAAATTTAGAGCACAATATCTGCGAAAATCGCATGTTTTTATGATTAGGCGTTTAAAAATATTTAGCTCTCTCAAGGGGCTACTTTTCATTGGGACATCCTGTATTATTGAACAGTTCCAATTAGTTCTGAACTGTTTCAAATTGTTTGTGTCACTGTAGCAAAAAGTTATAGCAAAATATCTGCGAAAATCGCATGTTTTTATGATTAGATGTTTAAAAATTTTTAGCTCCCTCAAGTGGCTACTTTTTATTGGGTCATCCTGTATTATTGAACAGTTCCAATTAGTTCTGAACTGTTTCAAATTGTTTGTGTCACTGTAGCAAAAAGTTATAGCAAAATATCTGCGAAAATCGTATGTTTTTATGATTAGATGTTTAAAAATTTTTAGCTCCCTCAAGTGGCTACTTTTTATTGGGTCATCCTGTATTACTGAACAGTTCCAATTAGTTCTGAACTGTTTCAAATGGTGCAGGTCAGTTCTAAAATGGTATTGGACAGTATATACTAAATGATAATTAATCATTTTAAATGATAAAGCTTCCTATACATTTCGGTAAAATTTCGGCGATGTAAATCTAGAAATTGATCCAATTTTTTTTGTTTTAAGAACAGTTAGGCTCGTTGAAATTCGAGAATATCGTGAGAATCCTCCACGACAGTTTCATTAAAAACGCAAATATTTACCGAACAGTAAAAGATAGAAAAAAAAAACACCACCCATCAACGATTGCTTCTAGCGGACCCCAAAAAATCGCCTACCTATCTTAACAGAAAACAGTCCGAGCTCGATTTTTTTTTTATCCGAATTTTTCCCACGTCGATACAGGCACATGTGCATCGACCTCTATTTTCTCTCCGTTCCGCGACACATGTAAGGCATTATGCGAGCCTCGCCAATGCGTAGATACATCTCGTGCAAACCCGAATGCACCTTATTGTCCAGGTAAAAAAACCGATTTTTTTTTGTGTTGTTTCGAATTAATCTCCGAACGGAACTCGGTGTAGGGTTCCTCTAAAAAAATCTGCCCCTTTCCTGTGTGTGTGTGCGTAGCGTTGCGGAGTGGAAGAAGAAGAAGAGAAAAAAGCGCTCGGGGTCTAAGGACGCATAAAAAAGGCGGCTTATAGAAGAAAAAAAAAAAACGGTCAGGGCCCCGTATGGGCCATCTGGTCCGCAGAACTCTCGAAGTTCCATCGAGACTGGCTGAAGGAGAGGCGGGCGCTTTCTTTTTTTCTTTCTAATACTACCCATCGAATAATAAAATTGTCTCACGTTGAGTACATACGCATTGTTTCGGTATCGGATGACCAACAAAAAATATTACTCATTTACCATAAACTAATTCATAAAGGCTGTCCATTTTCGTTAGATTAGTGGATATCGGGCAACGTTGCCGGGTTGTAATTGATATCCTTGATGTGACAGATATATTCGATTTGAGGTTATGTTTACTTTCGTTGTTTACAAATTAAAAGTCTTAAATAGTAGAATTTGAACATGAAAAAGTAGATCAGGAGGAGATGTGAGATTGCTAGCATTGATTTAACCGAATATTATGTGATTTTTTTACGATTAGGTTAATTATTACAATAGTCTTCTTCCCCTTCACCGTTATTTATCGAAATAGGTCGAAAAACAAACCGAAAACCGCACGAAAAACTCTCTAAAACGAACGGAAAACACAAAATCTACTCATAAACTTGCATAAATTGCAAGAAAAATGCAAAAATCGCATAAAAAGTAGCAAAAACAACAAATTGTAAACATAACCTCTCAACATAAAAGCGCGGAATTTTAAGACTAACGCAAGACAACATCGCTTCGGAACTTCAACTGCACATCGTAAAATTCCCCAAGTCAAATAGGAGAATTAACATTGGCACTAGGGACATTTCGAACTGCGCGGAAATTACTAAAAATTACCAAATAGTCTAACGAAATTGGATATCCTTCATTGCGAACACATGTGTGGCGAGTTCCTCGACCTATTTCGTCACTATTCGTCGAAAAAAATTAATTAATCCCGCGATGACAAACGAGGAAATGGAAGAAACATCGTTTGCGTAAAACCGCCCCCGTTGAAGGCACCGCCGCGACGCCGCCGACGCTACAAGTGGCGCCTCTCGGCGGCGCAACGGCGCACCAGCCGCCCCCCCCACCCGCCGCGTAATGTATACTTAAAAAGTCGGAAAAGTTAATTAATTATTTTAAACAGTTTGGAATGTGCTTGAGCACGATTTCCCTTTTGAATGATAATGCGAAAAGTTGGCGGAAAACTTTCCCGACTTTATTTATTAGATTTTCTTTTCGGCTCGGAAACGTCGCTGCCGAACAGCTGTTTTGAAGGTTTGTTTTAGGATTTTGTACCGCGAGGAATTTCATTCGCGGAGTTAATTTTCGCGCCTTCCTGTATAAAGTATATCGCGTCGAATGATATAATTATCGTCAGGCTGTACCTGTGTGTTAAGTCCACCAGCTTGTAGGTACGAAGATAAGATTATCATACAAACATTGATAACCTAGGAAAATAAAGATAAGGTCTGTATGTAACCATAGGAGAATAATATACTGTCCACAAACAACGCTTGTGAGAAAATAAAATAATAAAACGACGGCAAACGATTGTATTTCGTGTCCAATAGTCGGTAATTTGATTCTCTCGAATTCGTGTAAAATGGATCAATTGCACCAACTCTTTTTTTTTAATCTTCTATACAAAGGGAACGTGTCAACTGCACCAAATCATAAAAAAATAATCCGAAAAGTCGGTATAAATTTTCGAGTAATGAGTAGGTGCAATTAATTGGCTATTGTGGAAAATTGTTGGAAAAATCGGAATTGTTAAATGCAAAATATTTCTTGCAACCGGAAAATAAGATTTTTGCGCTTTTTCTTTGTCATTTTTGGTTGAATTCCTGCGATGATTCGTTTAATCTCTTCCTCTAGAACAGAGGATAAACTTCTTATTGTACTATCTTCTGATCTATCTACAAGATTAATTCCTGCCATTCCAAACTCTATCAAAGCCCTTCTAAGTTGCTTCTCTGACATTTGACAAAATTCCAATTCCTGCTGTGATTCATCCAGGTACTATATTTGTCAAAATAGGTGCAGGATTCCACTGGACAAAATCATTCATAATTGATACAAGTTTCATTCCTGTAGGCTCTCTAAAAAAGAACTTTCCTTGGTTAATTCTTCAACTATTCATCCAGACTCTTAAAAATTTTCAAGATAAACTCCTGTTATTGACCATTCCTTCACTCGCATGACAAATTCCTGCAGCGCTCTCTTTCCAGACTCAATATTTTATACAAAAGAGAGCAGGATATAAGCTCCAGTTTACGCCTATTCTTGACCACAGGGCAAATTCCTGCAACGATTCGTTCACGTTCTCTTTCCAGACTGAATATTTCATACAATAAGAACCAGGATAAGCTCCAGTTTACGCCTATTCTTGACCACAGGGCAAATTCCTGCATTCCTGCAACGATTCGTTCACGCTCTCTTTCCAGACTCAATATTTCCTACAAAAAAGAGCAGGATATAAGCTCCAGTTTACGCCTATTCTTGACCACAGGGCAAATTCCTGCAACGATCTGTTCACGCTCTCTTTCCAGACTCAATATTTCACACAAAAAAGAGCAGGATATAAGCTCCAGTTTACGCCTATTCTTGACCACAGGGCAAAATTCCTGCGACCGATTCGACGAAACCGAAAAAAAAAAAAAAAAAAAAAAAAAAAACTGTACCATACGCATCCGAACGCCCGAACGGATCCGGAGGGCAGCAGGACGGCCCCCACTCCTGCACACATGCACACATCCACAGCACACTTAGACCCACATACACACACACGGCGGCAGCTTCGCGACGCGCATCATCCCCTACCTAGCGGGGTGCTTTTAGGACCGCTGGCTAGCGAGTAGCCACGACGGCGCGCGAACAGCCCCGACGGGGCCCGAACGGCAGACGGACGAGGCTCGCCTGAATCGCGCTCGGCCGTGGAACACACGCGCTTGGACCGGTGCGGTGACCACACAGCTTCCATTTGGGTCCTTTATCGGTGGTCCCCCTTTTTGGCTGCCGGTCAGTTTCCGATCTGCGACGAGACGCGGGTGAAAGTCGAATGGGATTTTCCGGCATGGGACTCGACGAGTGATTAGTATTTTAGAAGCTGATTTTGTTTGTTTTTTTTTTTGGGATTTATTTTGTGACTCGATTTTTTTTTTTGGTGAAAATGATTTAGTGCGGGGATTTCCCGGTTGGTTGGTATATCGAGAATGATGGAACATTTTTAGTGCGGGTCGGACTTGCAGCTCAAACATTTCCAAAATGAGAATTAAAATGCCAGCGGTCAGAATCGCCCAAGGTACGTACCAGTTTTCTTTAAATCCGTTCCTGCGGTGTAGCAGGAAAATTTACTCGACTTATTACTCGCTTTGAATGAACGAAAATTTATTTTTTACAACAAATTTAACTCTTCAAAAAATTCCTGCAAATTATCAGCAGGATTTCGCATTTTGTATTAAAAAAATTTCTCATTATTTTGAGCGAATTTTCAAAAAATTAGTCAACACTCGTGCATATTTATCACCAAATTCATTACGAAAATTGAACACAATACAATGCACAGTGTTTGCGTCGGAAAATATGCAGGAATTATCGAATTCACGGCAGTAATATTGTCGAAACAGTTTCTATTATTCGGGATTCCTCGAAAAATTCATCAAAACACAAATTCCTGCAACTCCAAAATTAATCACAGTATCTTCCCGTACAACAGCAAAATAAATTTCACTTGTAGTACGAAAACAATTTACTGATCATTTGCATTAACATGTAAACATTTAATCTCTGTTTTCAAATACCGCCTTACAAAATTACAATACATTTCGTTCAGCGTCGCAAGCAGGAATTCCGCAGGAATCGCACTTTTCGACGCGTTAATTAATCCTCCAAACGACGTCATTCGAATCGGAAACACCGTCGAGAAATAAAAAGGGGCGTCGCGACGCGCCTCTCCGCGATCCCGGCGTCGAACTAACCGGAGGAAAAGCGCGAAACCGCCGCGAAAAACGCGGACGGCGCGAGTCTTTTTAAAACCGGGAAAGAATCATTAGCGAAACTTTTCGTTATTACACAGTCTGGCGGGGAAAAAAAGGACTTAATTAAAAAAATAAAGAGTGGATGCGATTTTAACCTTTTTAACTTTCTTTCACTGCGATGTATTTACATTACTGGTGCACAATGAGCAGCTTGTAGTTGTTGATGATGAAGACATTTATAATGTTCAATGCATAACGGTGAAATAAACAAACAAAGAGCAATTAAACGGCGTTTTGTCTTCGCGGAAAAAAATCCCTTCGTCGGGGATTAGCGAGCTTTAAATAACCCGCCCACGTTAACGAGGAGTAAAGCTTCGAGATGCCCGATAAATTCGATTCGATCGGAAATCGAAAATTCGTGGGAATGATACGAAAAACCGATTACACTCGCACGCACGATTCCCGGTTTTTGCCGTCGTACGGGACATTCGAAATTTCGCAAAAAGCGTTTTAATGCCTGCGAATATATCGCGGAATGAGCAATGGAATGACCCTCTGACATTTAAAATGCCACAACGCGGATTATTGCAGGCTGGTAATGTCGATATCCGAGACGCTAATATCGTAAATAACCGAGGATTTTTTACCGAATTATCCACGCAGGAAGTTCCTTAGTGCGCGGTTTTATCGCCGTGAAAATTATTTAACCGGTACTCGATTATTTGGTAATAGTGAGATACAAATATCTGGGTTGCAACTTAAAATATTAGATGATAAAATTGCAGTAAAAAGTCGAATTTAAGTAGAATTTAACCATCCATTAAGCTTCAATAAAAAAAACTAGCTAATTAATTGAGCTTTTAGACGCTTCGTGTAGTAGCTTATAAATTGGTCAAGTTGCGATTTATTAATCCGCAAATAATTGGACGTTGTGGTACAGAAATGTGTCGCATTAAATTATTTCGAACCGATGTATAAATCGCACGGAACTGTAAATATTTGTTTCGTTACACAGGTAAGGCTATCAAAGTAAATTTATTTTTCGTACGAACAGATTAGATAAAAAGATGTCGTAAAAATCTAGACCGTTAGGAATTAAGGTTGACGTCGTAAACGATTTCGGTTCGTAATTGTTTCTCGAGGATATGTCACATCTTTTTATAAAAAAATTTCGTTTATAAGGCGGCTTGTAAATTCGCTGCCATTATCAGCGGGGATTATTCGATGTTGTTCAAACAATCGTTATACACATCAAACGAAAATAATTTAATAATATCTGTAGTGTGGAAGTAGGAAAATTGTACTTTTGTATGTACTAAAATATCGTTATCGTTGTATAGTTTTATCTAGTTATACCTCAGGTGTTTGTATTCGTGATCTAATTGTATGTACTTTAATAAATAAATATTACAAAATTAGACATCTATACGGTGTAAATTCGAGCATTTATATCGATTAGGTATTATGCATTACGCACCAACTGGACTGTTAAACGAGCTTCACCGCATGTTATGGCCTGCTGAACACCCCTTTTTCTAATAATCCATCTAATAAATTGCTCGCAACTTGTCTCTCCAAAAATCCAAAAAAATCGAGAAAATTCCCAAATCGCCAAGCACCTGTATACGATAAAACCGTGGTACACATCGAAATGTATTGGAGCGACAACCGAAAACGCATTGTTGGTTTGACAAAAGGGTTGAAAGGGCCGCGTCCAGTCCGAGAAACGCGTTCCCACACAGCACCCACATCTGCTCACAGGTCACCGGGAATCACTTTGTGAATTCGAAGAATCTTATCTGGACATCGGCGCATCAACATCGAGAGCCGGGGCACAAACATTCGGGATAACGATCGCTTCTCTGATTCCGATTCGGCATATTTTTTTTTTTTTTTATCATCGTAAGCGAGCATAAAGACTTTAATTAGAGCGCTGCTGGTCTGGGCTTGATGGGCATCGGTGTGGGAGATTGCGGGTTAAACTCACCGTGAATATTTTTAAATTGAATCGTTGTACGTTTTTGGATGGAAAGGTGAATGTATTAAGGCGAGTAAAATGTAAACAAACCGATAAATTTTTGTGTTGTTGTTATAAATTAATTATTTAGAAAAATACTCGAATTTTCAGTGTAATTAATATTGTTGTAGATACGCTGATTTTTCCGGTAGTTTTCTTGAAAATAATAAAATGTTGAATAGTCTATAAATAATACCGCAATATAAATTACTTTTTACCATTTTGCATGTACTAGTCGTTAATAAATAATGCTAATAATAATAATAATAATAACTGTACTGACCTTACGTTTAAAACGTTTGTAGATAACAATATATTTTTTTACATGCCGCCCTCGATTCCATTAATTGCACTAAAACCAACACAATTACACTGTTAAAAAATTAAACGAAAAAATGAACGTTCCAAATTCCCACACCCTTTATGAAATAATTTCCTGTTATACGGTCAGTTTGTTGCCATCGAGCGATCCACTTAAAAGCCACAATACTGGCAATTATCCACCCCTTTCGCGCTGACCCTAACAACCCCTTTTCTTCGGCCAAACATTGACCATTCGGCAAAAAACTCGGAGTCGTCTTCAACCCTTTTCCGTGAGCAAACCTTCAGGAAAAAACCACCCCGAGCACAGGTATATGTAGCCTTAAAGCGTGTTGTGATTCCGAGATTTATTGCCGCTTTATAAAGAAGATGAGTCGACAATTAGCGGCTCGTGTAAGGGTTGTCGCAGGTAATTTAATTAATTTATCGCCGGATTTTTTTGCTCCGGCGATATTTCCACGTCCAATTAGCCGGTTGAAAGGCGGCTGAACGGCAAACGAACACCGATAAAACACTAAACCAGGTGTTGTAGGTTGTTCGTTTATGGGTATAACGGGCGCTTGGCCTTTGCGATATCAAAGAAAACGCTTAATTTGTGCTCTTCTTAATTCGACCAAAGGTGAAACTGGCTTGAATGGCGTCGTAAAGTCTCGAAATCAACGTATAGTAATGTCGTAATGTATAGCCTCACGAAGACCGTGTTTTACGTTTGTTTTCTCGCCTACTAATAGAGGAAGATTTCTAATTCAATTCAAGGGGATTCGCTAAAAAAAATCTTATACCTACTTACATTACTTACAAGTACTTGTATAGAAACACTAACAGCATATACCAATAACTTTTCGCATCTTATAGTATAGAAAAATTTAGTATATAGGTGTATAACGCGTTTTATTAACCGATTTATCGATAAGTATCTAATATATTTTCGATTGGTTTTATTGTATGGGCGATTAAGAACAATATTGACAAAATATTTGTTTATTTAAGTTCGATGTAGACGAGAACGATTTTCCTGGTAAAACAGCTTATAATTTCGATACGCGGAACGCTTGCCGATAACATTTTTCAGATGAAATTAAGAGAATTAAAAAATTTCATCTACGCCGCGAATCGTCATAATAAGTGCTCGACAATATTTTTTTATAATATTCGCCTTCGAGCGAATGCGGTCCTGATCGAGAACATTCAATAAAAGCAAAATCGAGGTAAACAAAACAATAATTTAGGTCCCATAAAACTCGCACAACAATTAGGTTGAAACGCTGTTATCAGTCGCGAGTAATGAAAAGCACGATTTCGCCTGCGAGATACAAGAATACAATTTTACGGTCAAGCCAAGAATATTCCGGATAATTCTCGTACGTGCATTAGAAAATTAATTTCCCATAATATACATAGAATCGAACTATTACAACGTACAAAATGCAGCATAAATAAATATCGCTGAACAAACGTATGGCATAGAAGACACAGTAGCTTCCCAGATACCGATCTCGGATTACCCGATATCGATCTAATTGAAAACTGGCCGAGCTCCGTCGATAAATCTCCTTTTGAGCAGATAATAGTGATAAAACGCACTATACAACGCGCTTTACGGATTCCTACATCCTATTATATGAACAAATTTATAAGCGAATTGTCCCAAGTTTATCCAATAAAGGAATAATAATCAACCATACATAAACAGTATTTTCCCAGAGCGCAAAATGTTCGATTAATTGGCCACCTTTTTGCAGTTTTTGCGCTTCTAATTATCGAATAAACGCCTCGAAACGGTGAATGAATCATTGTATTGTACAGTCTCAACGATCATTGGTAGGAATTATACTTGTTCTCTGCAAGACAAATTATAATTCGACCAATCGAGCGACAATCGCCCGGCGTGATACACATTATTAACGTCGAATCGCCGCGGTTTATAGAAATCGCATTCGCGAAGTTCGAAGCGGAAAATCGCGCCCGAAAACCGGCCAGTGGGCG